GCCCCCCCCCGCCCGGGTCTCCCCTCGGGCCGGCGCAAGGGACTCAGCGGGCCGCGGCCCTCCGAGCCGATCTTCCGAGGGCCCGGGCTGGGTCGGGGCCCGCCGAGGGGGTGGCGCGGCCCTGGCCGGGAGCCAGGAAGGAGCCCACGGAGGACGCGGGCCACTCACCTGCCGCGGGTCCGCCCGCTGCGGCCGTCAGTCTGCGATCAACGTGCCAGTCAGCAACTCCCCCAGGAACCGCTACCGCAGCGGAGCGGGCGGGACAGGGCGGTGCGACGTGGGCACGCAGCGCGGGGCGGGGCCTGCGAGGACACGCCCCCTGCAGACAGCGGAAGATGCGTGGCACGTGGCTCCATCTGCCGGTCTGCAGAGGCCCTAGATCCAGCCTACTGGGGTGCTTCGGCCGGAATGCTGGACAGCAGGACATCAAGAGCGACTGTGTATGAGGACGCTTCTGGACCACGCGCTCTTCTTGCCCAATGTCGTTTAATCTTTTCTGTCCACTCAGTGATGTAAGAAATCACGTTGTCAACCTTGACATCTCCCTCTTGGGCACTTGCCAGTTCAGTCTACTAACAGTCCTGTGCGAGACCCAGGGCAAAGCGTCTATCTAGACTCCGGCCTCCTCTGCTACCCGTCTTGTACCTGGTCTCCGTGCGTCGGCCTTGCCCATTCTTCAAACTGCAGCCAGAAGGATCTTTTAAAAGCCTAGATGAGATCCTTGCCTTTTGCTTAAAACCCTTCCACAGCTCCCCCATCGCTCCCCATTCTTGCCTTACTCTGTGAGTCCCTACGCAATCGCCAAGCTAGACCATGCCACCACCTCTTCAGGCTCATCTGGCGCGCGGGGCTCCACCGTTCTGTTCAAGCAGTCATTTCCTTAACCACCAGACTGACTACAGACTAAATAACTAGTAATAGCCAGTGTTGGCAAAGGTGTGGGAAACACGCAGTGTTCGTAGGAGTTATTGGGGGAGGGGGAGACAGGCTGGCAAGATCTGTTAAAATTTAGAAGGGGCATACCCTTTGATCCAACAATTCTATTTCTGAGTCGCTGTTCTAGAGATAGACCATTGTTTTGGACTGAGTTCCCACACTAGGCCCCAAAAGATCAGACTGAAAATCAAAATGCTCAGTTGTTTAGAATTATAACACCAAAGTCATGGGTTCAGATCTCCATACTGTCCAGCTGCCAAAATAAATAAATAAATAAAAATAAAAATGGAGTCACCCTTGCTAAATTTCATATCACTTAGGTTGCAGTCTGACCTTCTGAGAAGTCAGGTGAAAGAGCCAATTTCCCCAGTTTAAATTTTTAGTAAACATGATAATGAAGTTCTCTCTGCTTTAACCCTTACACAAAAGAGACAGCCTGAAATAACCTGGTGTTAACTAGTCGGTTATTTTTCTATTCTTTCTCTGTCCTCACCTTACAAGGAAAATAACTTTGTTTTGTTTTTTTGGCCCTTGACTTTGGTGTTATACCACCATGCTCTACTCAACTAAGCAATCAGCCAGCCCTCAAGGAAGGGACTTTGAAATGACCAATCTGCTTTGTTGTTCTTTGTTTCTGTTTTGGGGAAGGGTAGGGGAATTTATTTTTAAAATTCTATTTTCTTCTTTTTTTTTTAAAGATGACTGGTAAGGGGATCTTAACCCTTGACTTGGTGTTGTCAGCACCATGCTCTCCCAAGTGAGCTAACCAGCCATCCAAACCCGTGGCTTTGGTGTTACCAGCACCGCACTCTCCCGAGTGAGCCACCGGCGGGCCCTAAAATTCTATTTTCTTATCTCCTGTAAAATTTTTTGTCTCACAGGCCGAGCCCGAGTGCGGCGCTGGGAGTGCAGCAGCGCTCCCACCGTGGGTTCGGATCCTATATAAGGATGACCGGTGCACTCACAGCGCTCACTGGCTGAGTGCGGTGCAGCCGGTCTCAAAAAGGACAAATAAATAAATAAATAAATAAATAAATAAATAAATAAATTTTTTGTCTCAGGACCTCAAAAATGGGACGAGAGCTTAGAACTGTAAGGATTTCAGGGCCAGGACTGTTAGAGAAGGGGGAACCACCCCGTGTGATCAAAGTGCTCCCTATTGGCTAGAGCTGGTGTGTGCTCTCCCCTGTGACAAGGAGCTGAAGCCTGAGGGAGAGTGGTGTGACCCTGGTTTCCAGAGGGGGGTGAAATATTGAGGCAGGAATAAAGTAGGGACAAGAGACACTCCAGGGAGGCTGCTAATAAAGATCCAGACTGGATCAGCCAGAGCCTGTGCAATACGCAGGACAGGAGGGGCAGAGATCAGCCACTATGCGTTTGCACATGGGACAGAGAGGATGGAGAAGGTCGGGGTGCACGCCTGTCTCTCTGGCAAAGATGCCTGTGCACTTTGGCATATACCTTCACTTGATAATAAAGCCCTATCGTGTTCCATTTCTCAGCCTCCCTCTTCTTTCCTCTTGCTGGTCCATGAAAGAAGAATCTTTCATGGATCAAGAACCTGTATATGCCGTCCAGTAACCATCTGACAGCCAAGAGTGGGTGCTGACGGCACCGATCCTTTCCAATTGTCCAGGAGAAGCAGCTGCAGCCAACCCTGCATCATCTGGCACCTGAGGAACTAAGCCTGCGGAAGGCCTCCACCTGGCTAATGGCTCCCACCCAGGCCCTGTTCCACCAGGAAACCAGAGCAGTTTTCACTTTCCACTGCAAGAAGGAGTAACTCAGACATTCGTGGTCATAGCCAGCCTGTTACTGGGCCCAAGTCCTGCTGCCTGCCCCAAAACAAAACCCTGGCTTGGCTCACCAAAATCTATTACCCCAGGGCACTCAGCTCCCGGCTGAGGCTTGCCTAAATCATGTCACCAAACCTGGGTCTGGCTGCCTACCCCCAAACAAAAACATAATGGAAGTCAGCTCTTATTCAGGAACACCTATGACCTGAGAAGAGATGTCAGGCTAACCCGTCTCTACAGTAAACCTGAAGGAGATTGGCCAGCCCAAAGCCATCTCCAAGACTCAGATTTACTTAGGGTTTTTTTAAGAGGGGGTTAAGGAAACGGAATGTGGGAAATGAAAAGCAGGAGAGAGGGGGATGTGAGCTGTGCGGGCTCTGTGCAGGGAGCCAGGTGTAAATTCTGGTCAAGGCTCTGTCTGGCTTCTGTTCTCGTCCTCATGTTATCTTAGGGTCCTGTTTCAGGGCGGAATTAGCACAGCTTTATTGATACTTTTCTTGGTTTCTCAGGATCAGGATAGTACATGTCTCACTGCAAGTCCACAGCTCCAGGCTGACTGGAAAACAACTTTACATTTATGTAAATAATGTCATCTTGCCCCATAAACAAGGTTCAAAATATCAAATAACCATGAGAAAAGAGGAAACTCAGAGAAATGCATACCAAGAAAAAAACTGCCATCTTTTAAAATCTAGAGCCCATTTGGCTTTAGGTCCCAACGTGGCTTCAGTCCTGCTCACTCCAACATGCCCAAACCTGGCTTTGGGCAAATCTGAATAAGGAATCTCTTCTTCAGGGGAACACAACAACTATGCCAGAGCAAACACCTTGGGAGCAGAGCCTTAGGATGGATTTCAGCTCACTCCTTCCCCCTCAGCTGAGTGCCTGTAGAGCTAGGGCTCGGTCTCACAGACTCCTTGAGCCCCTTGCACAGACTGGGTCACAAACCCTTCACACACAGGTCTACGAGCTAGGTAATAGGAAAAGGTCCTGGGAGCCATGGGTGAAGTATTAATAGGCTTTATTCAGAGCTAGGAGCAGTCAACCTAATATGGCTTCCCAGAGAGTCCTCTCCAAGCTGCGCCTTTAGGCCTTTTTACTCAAGTCCACAATTCAAAAAACAAAAACAAAAACAAAAAAAACCCCAGGATGCACATGCGCAATCACATTAGACAATAGCAAGGAACACCCGTGTGCATGCGCATACCCCCCTTATTAGGTCCTATGAGAACCCTTTCAGCCGCGCCCCAAGGTAAATCCCTCACGCTTTACACTGACTCCAAATATGTTTTCCACATCCTGCTGTCCTATGCTGCTGTGTGGAGGGAACGGGGCCTACTTACCACAAAAGGAAACTCAATCACTAGTTCATCCCCTATCACCAAACTTATAGAGGCCTCTCGTCTGCCTGTCCGGCTAGGGGTAGTTCACTGCAAGTCTCATCATAAAGACAACTCCCCTATCACACAGGGCAATTCCAGGGCCGATGCGGCTGCACGAACAGCGGCCATGAATCCCGAACATAAACCTGCTCACCTTTTAGCTGCCCTCACTGACATACCTCCCGCGGACAATACAGCCCTGTTCCAGCTTCTACATGCTCTCTTCCACACTAGCCCCCAAACTTTAACAATCTTTTTACAAACTTTCTTTACACTCACCCCTTTAGATAAAGCCCTCCTGCAGGAAATTTCCCTTACTTGTAAAGTTTGCCAGCGCACTAACCCCAACACTCCTTTAAAACCTAAACCTTTCCCCTCCCACCAGGCCAGAGGTCAGACACCTGCAGCTGATTGGCAGGTGGATTTCACTAACATGCCACCTGTACGACGCACCAGATATCTCCTAGAGTTCGTAGATACCTTCTCTGGATGGGTAGAGGCCTTCCCCACATCTAATAAAAGGGCTATTACAGTGGCATCCATCCTTCTCTCTCAGATTATCCCTAGGTTTGGAATGCCCACTTCATTACAGTCAGACAATGGTCCTGAGTTTATCTCTCAGATTACCCAGAAAGTTTCCCAAGCTCTCTCTTTTCAGTGGCACTTGCACTGTCCCTATCATCCCCAGGCATCTGGAAAGGTAGAGAGATCCAATAGAACTCTTAAAAATATTTTAACAAAATTATCCTTAGAACTACACCTGGACTGGGTTCAGCTACTCCCGTCAGCCTTAGGATAAGGGCTCTTCCAAAAAACCCTCTCTGTTGTCTCCTTTTGAAATAATGTACGGGCATCCCCTCTTACCTCCAGGGCTCACCCCCTCACAGGGTCCAATACCGCCAGACCTCAATTTACCTCTCCTTTTCCATCTCCACTCTGAACTTTGGAAATTTCAAGATTGGCTCTTCCTGACCCTGCTTCCTCTCAAAACTTCTTGCCTCTCCACCCTGGACAACTACTATATGACAACTCTCCGGAAGAAAAAGGACCTCTCACGCCCAAGTGGGAGGGCCCCTACCCAGTTATTCTTTGCACCCCTACAGCCGCCAAACTCTCTTTACCTGGTAACCTTTTTACTCCCTGGATTCA